GAAAGCAAAGTGGGCGTGGTCGAGCTTCAATTAATAGGTTCCAAAAGTGGTCCTGGGGGTGAAGCCCCCGAAAATTTTGACAATTCAGGGGTTTCAAAGGCTTATTAAATCCCCCCGCTGTCGCCACCCCTGGTGGGGTTCTGGTGCCTGGGGCCACGGTGGGGTCGGGGGCGAAGCCCCCGAAGCCAGAGCAGTTTTTGTGTTTAATGGGTCTATAATAATGTTATAAAAGCAGTTTGGCCTATGTTTTGAAAAAGATCTATGTAATGAAAAGGTGGTAATATAATAAAATTAGAAATTATTTTCTGAGAATTGGCATGTTTAAATCACACCGAAAGATATAAAAAAAAGCTCTTCGCATAATCAATATCAATATACTCAACACGTTTATTATTATAAAACAAAAAAAAAGCTATTCTTCTTTTTCCTCCTACTCTTCTTCTTCTACTACTTCTTCTTGACTCTCATAATAATAGTACTATTTTACTACATGGCTAAAAAAAACTTGTCAAGATAACCTATCTCGTCATGACAACAAAACATTTTTAGTATGTCGACTTGCCAAGATAATCTATCTCGCCATGTCGACATGATATGTATATTATGTCGACTTGACAACATAATTATCTTGACAAGTCGTCAAGTCGAATGGCACTTAGGTGCTTCCGTAGTTTCATGATTCTTTATCACTAAACATTAACAAATACTCGTTTTGACGCACTCCGTTCTGTAGCGTGTCTGCTGTTTAAAACAAACTTCCTAGCCTAATTTTGAGACTGGCTATGATGACTGAGATGGACTATGTTGATTTATTAATAATATTTTGTTTGGGATGAAAAAAAAGGAGAGTCCTTTTCCCCAAAATGCTCCATCAGCACATAGTTTAGTGTGCGCGATGGACAGTATGGCTATGGAATTTACTAACCACACAATCCACATTTAGGTGATTAAGTCGCAGAACTTTATTTGCATTTGGTGGATTAAGTCGCAAAACTTTAGCTTCGTTTGGTGGCACCATTTACTCTAGGTAGACGGCGACCGGTTTCGTTACCGGTTGGTACATTTCTTACAAACATTCAACCAAAGGCCAGTGAAAGTTGAGACGACAGCCGTGTTTTTATCGATGTTTGCCATCCTTATGTGTGCCATCGTAAAGGAATTGCGTTTTAATTTAAATCTCCGAACTTCTGAAGCTGACATATTCTATGAATGTAGGCTTGTAATGCAGGCTACAATTTACAAACGGGTGGGACTCATTCAAAAATTCGAGGGGGTTCGCTAGAAAAAAGGGGGGTTCGCTAGAAAAGGGGGGTTCGCCCGAACCCTAAAAACCCCCCCTGGCTACGGGCCTGGTATGCATATATCACATTCATATATATAAATATATGTTAAAAAGTAGATAAAAATATATATATAAAACACTGTCTTTACCTTTCTTTGATGATATATATATATATATATTAGTAGTGAAGGCGATGACAATGAAAAAAATATAATATAAAATCAAGAGCTGTTAACACCTGTCTCTTTTACACATCTAGATGTGAATAAGAGACAGGATTTAAGATTATGAGTCAATTGCGTTTTTCAGAGAACTCCATTTAAAAAAAATATATATCTTCTTTGCAGTTAACCAGGGCAATATATTTCTCCATTTCATATTATTTTTTTTTATTTCAAGTTTTAAAGCATAGACACAAGGCATGGCATCTGTCTCTTATACACATCTAGATGTGTATAAGAGACAGGAAACATTGAAAGAAAACTGTTGTTAAAGATTGTTCAGCAATATCGTAATATCATAGACGGGGTTCCTGTTCAAATCGAAAATGGACCCGTTTTATAATACAGGTCTCCCTCTAATTCAGACAACTCTATATATAGCGGGAGGCAGCAGGTTCGAATAATTCTGTACGAAACCATTTTTCATACAACGGATATAAAGGAACTTTTCGTTGATGGGCTATGCTTGATACGATATTACATCATGTTCCTATTTCGAGCACTGTTATTATTTATCCACAGGTATTTGTTTATATTGAGTTTACAGTGATACGCATTTTAAACAGCAAATGAGAGGAACTGCAAGTGCAAAAAATATTATTGTATTCTATGTAGCTGCATACCCATAGGACCTTAAAAAAAGATAGTAGAAAAAAAATTATCAAATGTACCAGTTGTACCAGTATTAACTGGTACATTTACAGTATCTGGGAAGGAGGTGGTGTTGTCAAAAAGTGCAACAGTGCGTCAGTTCTCATCTCCATTCATACATTTGATCTTGGGAGCCAAAGAAATGTCTCTTGAGGTGTCCTATCATTTTATGAATATATTAGAAAATAGGTTTATGGATTTATGTGCCGACTTTATTTATCAGAAAATCTGATGAAGTCCACTGTCTGTCTCTTATACACATCTAGATGTGTATAAGAGACAGGTATATATGTGTGTCTGCAAAACATAACCACTGCCTTGTATTTTGTGGTCACAAAATGTTGTTCTTATGAGAATTCATACTGTATAACCTGTTTATCATAATAACAGCAATAATGCTGATACCCATAAAAATATGTATGCAAAAGTAGATATTACAATTTTTTAAAGGAATTATGTGAATGTAGTATCCAGATGGATATACAGACTTGATATAATTTACAGACTTTTGTGACTGGCTCCCTGCAGTTAAGTTGGATGAACATTTAAGATCCAAGTCAAAAATAAACTGTTGATGCCTTTAGTTGTCGTGTCTTTAGTTTTCCCTGGCATTTCCTGAGCTATGCTTGGTTTTCCATCAATCCAGGACCATCCATTCCTGAGGCATGCCTGATTTTCTCTCAATTCTCAGCCTTTCCCGATGTATGCCTAGCTTCTGAACTTCCTGTGGTTGTGTGTGAGGTTTATCTTTGTCACCCTTACACACGGCCACAGAAAGTTCAGGTGCCAAGAATTTCCAAGTTGAAGTTTTTCACGTCGAAACACAAGCTGTTCATTTTTGTACCAATGTCCAATGAAAACAGGCAGAATTTACCTGTTTGTGTGAAATCACAAAAAAAAATGAATAACATATAATGTAACTTACCAATCAATAATGAATATATGACTTAACCATCCACTGCTCAATATATAAATTAACTGACCAATCAAGAATCAAAATATAACCTACCAATCAATAATCAATAAGGAATTAATTGATCAACCCAATTGGAGAATGATATCTATTGGGAATCAAGTTACAAAAAGATAATTTGGATGAGTGACGAGAAGCAGAATTTCTTCAACTGTGAAATCAATTAGAAGACAGAATGATGTCAACAAGAGCCAGCGATGACGTGAATGCTTACCGGTCACTGGTAACATTTATTCAAGCTTTGGAGTTCATTTAAACAGGTGTAACAGTATTCACAATTACGGTGACTTAAGCAACTACTAAAAAAAGTGATGCATTGAGTTCACAAGTCAAAGATGTGTAATATACACACGTTTAGGTGATACACACAATTATCAGAGGAGATGCAAAGATTTGCAATTCAACCTCCAACACAAACATATAGGTTTCCATTTTAATGTTCTAGAAAATTATTGGTGAATATTCTTAGAAACAACGTACGTAATGGTAACAGAAAATAAGCAGGGAAAAATGGTAACAAAATAGCAAACCAAGACATTTCGTCATTTAAATGAATTAAGAAGTTAAAAAAGAAAAAAACATAAAAAAAACATAGCAAACTAAACCTGTAGACAGATGACAGCTAAAAAATGGGCAAAAATTCTGTTTTGAAGGATATATCAGGATAAACCTAGTAGTATTAATGTATTTACTAATAGTACTGTAATATATTATTAGCCATTGCAGTGTTGCAATCAACCATCCAGATATAACAAAATCACATGTTCATTTCCATTTATTTATTCTATATATGAACAATGACCATACAATACATTTACATAAACATAATTAATGATGAATATAAAAAATGCTGCCATCTGTTAATGAGGGTGGAGGGGGTGGAAATGCAAATAATTATTCTGTCGAAATGTGTAAAGGAAAGAAGAGAATTATCTACACTGACAAAAAAAAACATTGTCAGGGAAAAACTAAAATTTAGAATATAAAAAAAGAATTAGACTAATTATTGTAAAATATTGATAATATCAAGCAATGTGGTTGTTGCATCTAACCCTGAACATTTTAATCAGTTGTGGTACAACAAGGAAAGAACTTCTTGGAATATTCCCACACACCAGCTGGTACAGGTTAACAAGCAACAAAGGTGTTGAGAATATGCTCAAATCTAATGTTAATTGTATTGTTAAAATGTATTCAGTTAAAACATACCAAAAACAAAACTAAAATCATTTAAATATTCTCAAATCTAATGTTACTTGTATTGTTAAAATGTATTCAGTTAAAACATACCAAAAACAAAACTAAAATCATTTAAACAAGAAATATTATAATTCCTAGTAGTTTGTGTTTATAAATTGCATCAATTTTGAAAGATTTTGTTGTTTTTAAAACCAACTATTGTGTATCTTCGTTATTATTGCTTGACTCGATTCATTGCAACAATTAACAGAGCATCATAGCTAATAGCTGATATTGTACCATAGCTAATGCCTGACATTGTACCATAGCTAAGTCTGATATTGTACCATAGCTAATGCCTGACATTGTACCATTGCTAGCAACATCATCACCACCATCAGTGGATATTAGATTGACAAGTGCTGAAGCTGCTCATCCAATCAAAGTCTCCGAGCCTTCCTCGGACGGCAGCCATTATGGGGCACTGGTGTATTGTCGGTGATTGATATAATTTCCAAACCACCCATTTGTAGACCTTTAATAGATGCCTGGATAAAAAATAAAAACCAAAAAGGAAATGATAAATATTAATATATTATACATATATTATTAATCTTATTTTAATATTAACAATGTATAACTAAATATAATTTTACCAAGCAATCCATTTTTTTTAATGTATTGCATTGATATTGTTGGAATATACTAAATATATATTTTTAGTTTTTAGTTAAATCTGTTAATTGCTACAGTAGAATGCAACAAATTATACTGTATAACCATTAACAGTTAACCTGTCACTAAAATAAATGTTCTGGGAAAAATTATAAGCTATTTACATGATTACAGAGATAAGTAGATATTGATGGCTACATAGATAGATAAAGTATAAGTGTGTTTATAAACAAATACCAAGAACAGGAAATTTAATAAAATTAGTGCAGTTGTGTAAAGTATACACCAGATTACTATTGAATGAGGAAATATAAACTTAAAATGTATACATCTGGTAGTAAAAGGGGAACTTCCTTCTCCTGTCCACAACTTAGGGAGATCATTGTAGGCACAAAAGAATAAATATGGGCAAAAAGTAATTATGACAAAATGTTTTTGTGAAGATCACTGATAAATTTATATTGAGAATGGAGTAGAGCTGTATACTGCATGGTTGTTAAAGGTGCTCTTTTTTGATCTCGATGTCCTGGGTTCAAATACTGTGAAGTGACTTAATAGGATTTTTTAATTACTAGACAATATAACTCCAATGCTTAAATCGAGTTTACTGTACGTAGAGCATTTTGTGTATATGTTTGTCTTGTGAAAGGTATTGCTACTAAGACTAAGATCGCTATAGGCAATCATTAGCCCAAGTTACTTTTAATAAATAAATCATAACATATACAAAGTAGTGAACAAGGAAACAGATAGAACCACAAAATGACTAATCGCATGGCCAGAGATGACTGAGAGTAACATATGATTCAATCTAACTCATCAACCTCATCTTGTCAACTAAACATAAAAAAAAAATTTTAACTCGTTACATGACCTTCATTAGTGGTAACGAGCAACAATGAAGCGCGACTACAGTACGTTCTTAAACACCTATAATAAACCAGTCATCAGTTACACTTGTTAGTCATCCAATTCAATCTCATAAAAAAATCGAAGTGTTTGATTCTATGAAAATCATCATTTTCATCATTGGTACTGAGAAACATCTCTATCAGTGATATTTAAAAATGTTAATCAAATTTACATGAAAATTACTTGAGGAATTGTTATTATACATTCATGCATACCATCAAAATTCAACTTATTAACATTTTGCTATTAATTAGTGGTAAAGTTCATGTATGTACAACACAGTGTTTACTTAAAAGAAAGATATGCTCAAATGCTTCCAATTAAAATAATAATTCATTAATTAAAAGATATTCTGCTTCTGAATATTAATTATTATAACAGCATCAGATCCTTTTAAGAAGATGAAAATAAATACTACTATCTGAAGGTTAACAGCAAACTGCAAAAAAACATTTGTGTAAATTTCTACCCAATTTTGGTGACAAATAATAGTCATGATAGTGATGATGACTTCACCAAACCTGATTTGGGGATTCGGATCAGATGATTGATGACTGGTGCCAACACCAAATAGAAGTGAATCAGCATTTTAGTTGTCACCAAAACTAATTGTTTAAGTAGAATCGGTTGAAATTTCACACCATAGCATCAGTAAGCCTATCTTTAGCACCTTATGACCAACACTAGGCATCCTCAAAACTAAATATCTTCAAAACTAAATTTAACACCCTATGTACTCCTAAACCTCCAGCACAGTCTGTCATGAACTTAGCACAAATCTGCCATAGGCACTCTTAAATGCAGACCTTAACGAACCCTGTGTGAATAGCACTATAACACGCTTATTATTACCTTTTACGCAGAAAATCTAAAAACATGCCAGATATGTAGTAAACACTTAAGCAAAGGTATCTGGATCTTGCTAACACATCATAAAAACCAAGAGCTAGGTATGAGGCCCCATGCTTAAACTCTACCATTGCACAACTATGTTTGGTATGACGATGAAAGCTTTCAGTTTAGTAGGAATGTACGAAAAGCACAGGATAACACAACAAAAGGAAGAACCTAAAACCTGTCTTAAGATAACACAATTAGATTGGCATTAACACTGATTAGGCAACATACTTAAAGGATGGAAGTGAAAATGTGCATTATTATTGATTAATTAATCAATTAGTGCACGAATACCGATTAGGCAACATACATAAAGAACGGAAGTGAAAGTGTCAAGGGTTCAATAACCTTAAATTCCAACTAATTATAATATATTGAAATAAGAGAATAAAAGGAGAGAAAATACGCTCAATATGAACCTTAACATCATACAATTCACATTGTTGCCACAAATAAACATGTTCAGGCACCTCTCCTCGATTCTTTAAATACAGTAGTAGTTAAACAAACACACATCAGGGTACTTATAATAGACCACTTAAAACACTTGTCCAATGCACTCTTGTCTCCATGGCCAGCTCTTTTGAAGTCTCTGTATATAAAATCTTTTAAAATTGTTTAAAAATAATTTCACTCAAAATAACTTGTCTATACTCCTCCTTAAACAAGAAACAAAATAGACAAATTACCTCATTTACAGGTTTATGCAGAATAAACTGAGAGGATACATCCAGCAAACACAAAAAACATAAAGACTTTAACAAAGCAAATGTTCTTTGTTGGACACCAGCAGACTTGGCTTAGATTCTATTACTTAATTCTCAGAAACTGTGAAACTGTTGTTGGTCTAATACACACCAACCTGACTAGGCCCTGACCACATACTAACACTAATCTAAATAACTTACTTAACTTGTGGTTCCAAATGCATTCAATTTTACTTTGGTCAAAGATCACTTGTTCATAATATTTGAATAAAAACGTCTAATGGTGATTTAGTTCAGACATTTAGGTATTCAATTCTAAATTGTGTGTCTAACATGTAACAAAGAAACCAGTATTCAAAACTGAGATACCACAAAGGAGCTAACTCCCCACTGCCCTAAAGAGTTCAAGTATTATTAATGTACATATGCACTTTATTGCACTACAGCTTAAACTCCCTTATTTTTTTTTTCAGGCCTACCCAACACAAGATGTTTTTTTTTGCAAACATTTCTCAGGTCCTAGCCTTCTTCCAAATTTTCGTACTACTCTGTATTTACAATTTTGTATTTTCTTGTTTTGCCTCTGCAAGTAATAAATGTTTTGTTGAATTGAATTGCGTATCTGTGTTGTAACAATTTTCACAGCACTGACTTTTACCACTGCAAGAGTAATTTTTTAATGTTTTGAATATTCAGAATAGTAAATCATTTTAATTATGAAGAACAAGATTGAACAGGCTGGCTAGTTTGTGTTACCATAATTTTAACTTATGATTTAATTTTATCTTATTGTTTCATAATAATGGAGTAAGAGCAGCTTTCTGTTTTGGCTTATGGCTCTTGCTCCTGGCAAGATTGTACCCTTATTTTGCCAAATAAATATTATTATTATCATTATTAAATATAAATATCATATGATGGTCTTTAATGACATGTTATGTTGGGAGAACCACAAAGTGAATTTTAATGATAAACATTAATCCAGATTTTATTGTATACGAGAGATGAATTCATTTCAAATTTGGCAGGAAATCAAGTTGATATTTTTTGCTAACTTCTATAATTCTGTTACTTGTTGGGTTTCATCATACTGTACAATACTACTGGGTGGGGACGTCATGCTACACGGACAGGAAGATTCGTAGAGTGAAGACAGACCAACCAGAGGTCATTAAACTACTTGGTGCATGTAGTGTGATTGTTTATAATAATGTAGTTTTGGAGGATGAAAGTCAGTCTAAGAAATATTTAATTTTTATTTGCTTTAAATTTGATTATCTGACATTTAAAATGTTTAAGCTAGCTTCATTGTAATGCAAACATTAAATCTGTTTGTTGAGGATGAATAAGCAATTTGAATCCTGAATTTTGAACTTGTGTTTTAAGTCTACATAATACTGGACACAAATATAATAACACAATTACTTATTTATTTTTTATTTGGATTTAAAAATGATAACTTTCTCACCTGTCTTCCTGGTCCAATGCCCTTCACCATTACTCGCACCATTTTTACCCCTTTCTCCGCTGCTCTCTGAAGGGGGAAAATTAAAATTTATTCCATTTTACATGTAATAAAGAATATTAACAGTAAAACAAAGACAAATACTGTAGTAACATCTAATTGCTTGCCAGTTCAAAACAAAGCCACCAATCATAGCCTAGTTGTCATTTGCTTAAACAAAAATGAGCCAATTAAAATCTGTCATAGGAATCCCCCTGACGATAATTCACCTGATTGGAGACACAGATGGAAGTTATCATCAACACAACTCTTTTTCTTAGGTAATGCTAACCACAAAGACATAACTGTTTAACTCCTTTATTTTCTTAACTTTCCGCAAAAAAAAATTGCCTAGCATTAGACACTTCCTGTTTGTGATGTGGGTAACATGATCACCTTGATTTTTGTGGTTTTAATCAGACGTTTTTGGTATACTTTAAAACCAAGAAATTTCACTTAATTTCATTAAACTTTCGCAAATGGTCCACATTTCGCGAAAGTTTCATGGCGCCAATAATTTTCAGGTCACATTTTCTATGTTTGAAGTACTGCAAATATTGGAAAGCGCAAAAGATCGGTAGAGTATTATTTGATCATTGTAAATGTTGAATCATGTTTCAGAAATGAGATTTTAGTCATTATAAATCACTGAATTACACCAAAAATAAATTTTAACTTTTTTAATGATAATGAATGATAAACAGCAAGAATTGTCGGTATTTCAAGGGCTAAACTTGCCGAAGACGATGCAAAAATTTGTAAATTCTAGGCCAATTCTAACCTACTCAGTAAGTATACTGATCGGGGATGTACTGATCATCACTGCATGTCATTGCAAATGTGCAACCACTGTGTGGTGTATACTTAAATAGAAGCTAATTTGCATACCATGACATACCATGATGTTCATTCATCATCAATCAATGAATTACAGGAAAATAATTTATTAATAAAACATGTTTTGATAAAAATTGTTCATGGTAAGATGCTTGAACATGGCATAAAAAATTTTAGTATGTCGTATGAGTGAGTACTGTACTAATGAGGCGCCAAGTATAAATTTATTATTTAATACATTACAGCAGATTCAATAATCTGCTGTATCCCTTGCCGTGCCATTTTCGATTGGTGATGGTCGGCGACCTGTAGACCACACACAATAGGCCCTAATTGTAACGTTAGAGCACAGATGAATATTTATTACTTTGTAATTTGCATAACAAATTATTTATAAACCATGGCTTCCTACGATGTCATTATTTATATATAATGGCACTCGACCTCAACGGTTATTTATATATAATTGGCAGTAAGAAACCATTATTTAGATATAATAACCTTGACATGATCACAAGTATGCATTATATACATATAATGAGTTTGAAGTCCAAGCATTATATACATATAATGGTTTTGCGACAGCTATTATTTATATATATATAGTGAAATGTAAAAGCAGTTATTTATATATACTGAGTTTGAAGTTAATTCGTTATTTATATATAATGAAATCAGTGAACTTATTATATATAAATACTTGTAAGTTACTTTTCATTATTTATATATAATGATTTGTTACCTTTTCATTATTTATTTATAATTGAATTAGTGAACTTATTATATATAAATAATTGTAAGTTACTTTTCATTATTTATATATAATGATGTGTTACCCTTTCCTTATTTATAATGAAACCAGTAACCTTATATAAATAATGTTTGGTAACCCTTTCATTATTTATATAATGAAATCAGTAAACTTATTATATATAAATACTTGTAAGTTACTTTTCATTATTTATATATAATGATTTGTTACCTTTTCATTATTTATTTATAATTGAATTAGTGAACTTATTATATATAAATAATTGTAAGTTACTTTTCATTATTTATATATAATGATGTGTTACCCTTTCCTTATTTATAATGAAACCAGTAACCTTATATAAATAATGTTTGGTAACCCTTTCATTATTTATATAATGAAATCAGTAAACTTATTATATATAAATAATGAAAACGTTAACACAATTATTTACTTAATAATCTTTTAGACGTAAATGCATTATATATAAATAACGGGTGATCTATTCAATTATATGTTAAATAATGAACTTTACACTTGGCACCGCATAAGTACTGTGGGTATTTCCTTCTTTGTCATAATTAACTGTGCCTGAGATGGCCAGCTAGGTCTTAGCTGCTGAGGTAGGAAGGCTTATGGCTCCTAGCCTAGGCCTACTATAGCCTGGACAGTGGCTGTAGGCCTAGCCTAGGCCTAGAACTCACGATACGATGTTTTCAGCTATTGTATGGTATTCCTCTCATGAATGAAATATTTTGCGACTTGCGAAAGTGTAATGTTGCGAAAATGGCATGAATTTGAGAAAGTTTCGTACCACAAAAGTTTCTGGTTTTACAGTGAATGTTTCAATCAGCCTGAATCCACAGTATACTACCATTTTGTAATGCTGGTAGAAAATTTTACATCCTGAGCTCTCTATGTTAAAATTAGTTACTATGTGATATTAAAAATCCAGATTTGAGTTTAGGAACAATACTATAGTCACTATGCCACTGTGTTACCCTGACAGCCATTAGCTGCAGATCAGCATTTACAATGTACATCCTCCTCCACTCCCTGAGAGACAAATGTGGGTGTTTCCTATAAACATAAACAGCAGCACCGGCAGCAAGCATTAGTCCACCCATGTGATTATTACTCGAGAATATGGTTCTTAACCACAGCACCAAAATTATGGCTGGCTGCATGGCACACCATCACTTACCGTAGCAGCTGCTATGGCAGCAGTCTGGGCTGCAACACTTGTCCCTTTCTTGGCATTTTTAAATCCTTCAGAGCCCTGTATAATAATATAAACATACAATTAATTACAATTAAATAGATATTGAGCCATCATATAGCACACTAAATTTTCAAATTTTAGGTGAAAGTATGCAATAAAACCTAGATTATATTATACAGTTAGAAGAACAAAATCATACAATTTGTTGAAGTTGAATTGCATATTACCGATATTCAACTAAAATTAGATTTAGTGGCTAGTAAATGCGCACAAACCAAATCAGACACAAGACTGTTTAATGGTAATTATAGTTGATTATATACCGCATACATAGATTCTAGGCATGTGATTGGTTAAGAAGCGGGCAATAGAAAGTACAAATTCAGACCTACCAACTCACGCGATCATGTCGGGTGTCACCTGATATTTAAACAAATCTCCAGTTCTCCCGATCAAATGTAATTTTCACCCGATTTCACAGGCCACCCCCTCTCACCAAAAATACTCCAATTTAGGCATAATTTAATTGACTTGATCGTTATTATTTAATGTATTCGCCGCCTGCTCGCTTCGCGGTGCAATAAACAAAAGCCATTTTCAATTCGAATGTCACCACCAACGGCCAATGATTTGTAGTGAAGTGACTTTCTTGGTGTCTTACATCATCTTTTGTTATTTCTGGAAATCTCCAGATTTTTTGGTAAATCTCCAGATTTTTTTAAGATTCTTAAAAAAATCTCCAGATTTTCATGACCAAAGGGTTGGCAGTTGGATAGTACTTTTCTGCACTGCTGCGTAATGTGCAATCTCTAGTAGCTATGTAAAGGAGACACAACCTCTATGACCAATGCTGTAGCCAGCTATTGGGACAGTCCCACACAATTCTTCTAATGGGTCCACTTTCTAAAAATGGGTCCAAATTATGCAATTTCATGAATAAAATGGGTACAATTTTAAGAAAATGGGTCCAGATTTTTCATATTTTTGCGTAAAATGGGTCCACATTATTTGAATATACACGTAAAGTGGGTCCACCCTGATATTGTCCCACACTGTTTGAAAATCTTGGCTATGGCACTGTCTACAATGCTGAGAGATTGGCCCTTTGATCGCCTATGCCTAGTAAGTAAGCCTAGGCCTACCTGGGGTGTACTAATTTCATTACTTTTTTAGGTCTTGAAGAATCTATTTAGAGGTATATAATACAAATATGGATTGCTATAGATTTGGGGAACGCTGAAATAGCTCTTCAGTGATGTAGAAACCATAGGCTACATTCTTCATATCAAATCCGGGTAATAGATGCACCATTTTCCTCATGAGCCATCAATATTTGTATATTATGATCTTCATCACCTTTGTGGCCAAAGCAATGGTATTTCAGATTCTAAGCCCCATCTAGCAGCACGTTCTCATATCTAACGTTGACCCCAGAGCTGGTAGAGCCAGGTCTGATTGGCAGAGGTAATATAAAAGGTGGCTTGACTTGAGTACTCAAGCCATCCTCTGGGAGAGTCTAGTTTATGTCTACTTCAAATGATACATCACTTGAATATGTATGGTAGTAAACACAGGTTTGAAACTAGGCCAATATTACTATGTTTATAGGTAACATGGAACCAAATCTGAACTTGCATTATTATTATTTTATTGAACTTGACTTGCTAGCCAACCAACCCACAACCCAAGTAACACTTTGCCACACTTGGGGCATTTTAACATGTAATGTTTGTTACATTTAATGAAACCGACCCTCCATAAAAGTTCACAAGGTTGATATGCCAATTGTATAGGATCTGGTTTTTAAAATAAAAAAAAATAGTATATCAAATAAATCAATCACCACTGATTGACAATCAAATGTTTACCTTTATTGGTGTATGCAATGCATGGTTTATTAAATACAAAAAAAGAAAATACTGTATATACAAATTTTATGAGGGTGTCAAAATGACAAAAATCCTACATGTACTATGGGAAGATAAAATGGGTTGAGAGGTTTCAATCTTTTGAAAATAATTAAAAATATGATTTTATCACACAGTGCAGACTAAGAAACACATCAGTTACGTCTATCAACCAATATTTTGATTTTTAAAAAATAAATAATACTCAATTTTAATTGTTGAGTTGAGTGGAAAATGTTGGAATAGGAGGAGATGTATCATATCCCGGAGAACCATCAATTATCTATAAATAATAGACATCCTCTGGGATGTACTTCATTATCTTTGTTTACTAGTCTGCTGTTGCTCTCATTAACATAATACAACCATTAAATATGTTGCTGATTCAACGACTGTATAAAAAAATAATCTATTCAATCTAAAAAAATAATTTGTAATGTACAGATACTACAAACAACTTGAATACCAATAACATAATATGCAAATAAGAAAATCAATTGGAGGCAAACAAATTAGAAGCTTGGATGGAAATGAACACAGTCATTCTCTAAGAGAAATATTTGTGAACAAAAATATGAAGAGTTAAAAACTAGGATAAAGTTATTATAGTTATACATCAATATTTAAAAGATAATAAGACAATTTAAATTCTTGACCATGAAAAATATGCCTATCCTTCTACACAAACATGATAGGCACAAGAATTTGATTAATTTCGTAAATAAAGACAAATATTTTTACCTTTTAAACGTATACCAGGAAAAATACTTTAAAACTGATGGAAATAAAATACTGTATTTTTTAAATAAAATGTATGTAACAGTTGATTAATAAAATAAAACATCTGCTTTCGGATATTTATTCTAATTTTGAGGTTTCTTGTTCAAGTTTGGCTGTGTTACAAAGCACATTCTCTAACAAACTACTGTTATATTGATTAACCAATAGACCGAATCGGCGACTCCAGCTATTACTGGTGACGTGACATATAGTGGGTACAAAATGTAAACATACCCATCGTAAACCACAGTGCGCTCATTGAACACAGTATATTGCGAGAGTTATGATGTATTTTAGACAGCAACCTAAATTAAAGTAAGGCAGTAGGCCTATGTTTCTTTTTAAATAGTGATTTATAATTACTTTGGCAATCTCCATGTATTTTATTTAGGCTCTGGAATGCTGCTAGTGTACGGTAGGCTACATACAGTTAGGCCTACTACTAGGCTGCACTGTGAGTGTTAAACCTTGACTAGGGCCCAGAGCAGGGAGGGAATTGTTATCCCTCGACTATATATCTCTGTAGTCGAGTATTGTAGGTAATAAAGTGGAAACTAACCCTTAATGGTATGGATTGCTCAACCAAACTTGTGAAACAGGCTGGTGATAATATGCCTGGTTGGTATGGTACATCCTAATGCCAGTACGTAATAATAATATGTCATACGATGATCATTATCCTCGGCAGTAACTACAAGCATCCTATGATTTAATTTTAGATTTAAAATAACTGTAAAATAATACTCTTGCAACGAATGGGGAGATTCGTTTTTTTTTTTTATGCTGCGATAGCATTTTGTCATGAATAATATTCTTGACTTAGGCCTAGGCCTAAAAAGTAACTTAGCTAGCGACGACTCCCCTGACTAGAGCAATATGCACGTCATAAAGGTACCGTACCTTGACCAGGGCCCGGAGCAGGGAAGGGGTTGTTATGCCTCGACTATATATATATCTCTGTAGTCGAGTAGGTAATAAAGTAAAAAATAACTATTAACGTTATTGATTGCTCATCCAAACTTGGTCTAGGAAACAGGCTGGTGATATGGGCTTATTTGGCATAGTACATCCTAATGGCAGTACGTAATAATAATATCTGTTATGTCATATGATGATCATTATCCTCGGCAGTAACTACAAACATCCTATGATCTAATTTTGGATTTAAAATAACTTAAAAATAATACTCATGTAACAAATGGGGAGATTCGTTTTTTTTTTTTTTTTTTATGCTGCGATAGCATTTGTCATGAATAATATTCTTGACTTAGGCCTAGGCCTAAAAAGTACCTCAGCCACCGGCGACGAATCACTAGAGCAATATGCACGTTGTGAAGGAACCGTACCTTTCCTTGAAAAACTTCCAGGCTTTATTCCCACTATCCATTAGAGCCTCACCAAACCAAATTGGTAAATATTTGATAATTTAATTTTGAAACACTTCTAAGTAATTTACCAAATTATAACTCGCATTCCAATCAACATTTGCAACATCTATGATGTAACTTACATCAACAAGGCGGAGCCATATTTAATGCACTGTCGTCTCCCGATCTCGATAGATGTAAACAAACCCTAATACCCACTATAAGTCACGCGATCTGAGCAGCCGATTCGGCCTATTGATTGATTGATACAGTAGATCAAATTTGTTGAGAACAATCAAAATAAAATATAGCCTATTCACTTCTCATCTATAGTCACACGTTAAGGAACTTTTTAATTTTTAATATCAATCTAAATTTTAAAATGTTGGTTTACAGTACAAAAACCTTAAACTAATAAACAATTGATATGAGAAAGGATAGCATGTACACACACACACACTAAACCTCGGAAAACAGAAAGCTAGCACTAATATAATCATTGCCTTTCATCCTCACAGATACCATCACAAGTCTCAACAGATTTCCACTTAGTTTATCAGATTCTTCACTTCCTAAAAATAACATTAAAAAAACATCCAAAAAACAAACCATTCTGATACTGGCAGGCTAAAGATTTCAAACATGGGTGTGTTCCGTTTGACCGTTATATTTGGCCGTTCGCATTGCATGTGGGTACTGTTTGAAAATAAACAGATTCTGATTGGCCGACTGTTGTGAAACATGACCGCTCATGTTAACGATAAAAGCTCTTCATATTCTTGAAACCCGTCCAATTTTGCATCGCTGATATTCTACTACTATGTACACATGCTCACTACAGTTACCACCACTAGTTACTTTTTCTGATATTTTTTTATATCACACATTGTTTATAATCATCACAATATTCTGTAGGCAATAAATAATGCTTGAAAATATTCACCTTAGTCGTCAATAGCAATTGACATGAAAATGATACAGACACATGCCATGTACCAAATGTCGAGTACTAACGGAGAAGGAAAATCTGTTCTTAAAGAAGGTAATGGAGAGAAAATGATAGGGTCATAGGAAGGGGGTCAAGTAGTTGAATGCTATAAAAAGGTGGGCTGGAGACCAGTAGACAATTATTTCCCAATAAGGTTAATTTCCCCTTGGTAACATTACACTCAATGCGAATCACAAATATAAATTGCTATTTTGGTAACATTGTATTCATAGTGACTCATACAATTTTAAACAGATGTAAAGTAAGAATATAAGGTGAATAAAATGAGTCACAAGTTGGACCTTGAGATAAAATGAAGCAAACAATTCTACTTACACATGTTGCTTTTGATATATATTTACGAACTGAAAGATACAAAAATATAAAAATATGGTTAATAAATAAGTCAAATAAATAAAAAGGTTAATTAATTATGTCAGATAAATTTACCAAAAGTAAATAATAACTTGTGTTAGTACAAGTGCATCTACCATAGCATAGCACCACACATCAATATCTTTAGGCACAAAGCAGCCCACACAATAACCATGTCTGCCACATAGTGCTTTAGCACCACACATTAACCTCATCGAAATACGAAATACAAATGAACTTGATTATCTTTCATTATTAATAACAAAAGAAAAGCATCTTCAGTTGGCAAACGCAGACAAAATATGTTAAAATCCAGAAGAACATCATCTGCCACTTACTGTGGCACTGCACCACTACACATCAAAAGCATCCACCAAAAAGCACTGAAGTGCAGGATTGGTCCCCAGCACATCACCATACTGTACATCAACTTCATACAGTATGCTACAGATCAGCACAATACCACAAATCATAGATATTTAACAGACTACAATAAGTCTATATTGAGCCTTGGTAAAAATCCTTGTTGTTGTCATTATCAATATTATTTATTTAATTATATCATTGTTTATTATTGAGTAATGATTTCCAGATGCAGAACATGATCCTTATACTAAACCACGCAAATTTAGAAAAGCTTAAAATTACTAATTTGACTAAAAAGTACTTCTGCGTAATAGCTTGTACCTGGTGGTTTTGACAAATTCGCTGAAGCCTATAATAATAGCAACAGAATTGATAAAGAAAACAAGTTAAACATGCTCACACCACTGTGATTCCGGATGATATACACAAACAAAGTAAAATGCTTGAAGAATATTTAAGTGCTATAACTAACCACAGCTTAGTCCTACGCATTCAAACTACACACCATGTCCCAACAGACAAAGGGGATACATTCTGACGATACATCGTAATGATACATAACTTAAAAGGCATGTGGGGAGAGCAGAAACTGATTAGGATAGTGAGAATAAGTAGGAATACTCTAGGAGATGTAGGAAAATAAGAGTGCTTGAAGAAGCAGTTCCATAAAGAGATGAATTAAAAAATATAATAATACAGCATATTGTTATAAAAACTAATGCAACTCCTATATAAATAAAACAATTTATCTAATATTTATAGAATGGAAATGTACTGCTACATAAACCAAGTCTTTAAGGGTTCGAGACAAGTTTTAATGGTAATAACAAATTTTGGCATTTTCTAGGATTTTAATGTAAACACTAGAATTGGGAGAGAACACATTTAACTACAGTAGTCTATATCCAACTCACAAACTTAAGACGATAATAATAATAATAATAATAATAATAATAATAATAGATGGATTTAGTGCAAATAAAAAGGTCTCTATGCGCTCGGGACTAGACGTTGCACTTAGATAGGCAAAATTCCTACAAAGTATTATCTCAAAGTCCAAAATCTTTTATCAAATCAATATACAATAATCATAAGCTTGCTAGCGGTTGCATGAAACAGGATTCTAACATAATTAATAGATTAGCAATTTAATCTACTAGATGAAGGTTCATAAAGTACAAGATATCAAATGCAATACCAATTAACCAATCACCAATTTTCAATTAAGAATGAAAGCAATCAACGCTGTTACCCAATAACAAAGCAACATTAATTCATTATGGGTAATATTAGAGGAAAATAATATTTAGTCTTCAAATTGTTTAAAGGGAAAAAATATATTTGCAGAAAAACTAATGTTTTGACAATACTGACCATAGGGTAACAATATTGGGAATATTTTGGATTTTGGATAGTTAGACTTGGGGTTAGAAAAATTGAAGGTAAATACTTCAAAATAAAATAAAACTTGTTTTTTAAATAATCAAGCTAATATTAATAACATCAAGGTGTATAAATCAAATAAACAATAGGAAATTGGAAAGCTATCTCAGTATCTAATTATGTTAACAACACTGCAGATAAATAGAAATGTATTAAAGAATAACATCAGAAATGGAGGAAGTTTATCTAGACGATTAAACAGATTTTAACAACACACAAGATATTTATTATTATTATTATATAAATATAAAAAAAATGGGAAGGTTATCTGTAGACAGTCAAATAATATCAACACTTATGTGATCAACTTACTTAATAGTGAACTTATATTTGAAATGCTGCCAATTGCGAAGAAGGTTCTTAGTAACAAACAAACTAGCAGGATACATTTCACAACTTAAAAACAAAACTCCAACGTAGAAATCAATCCAACCTTAGAGTAGTTGGCCTCTCAATACCAGTCAGAACAAAAGTACTATACTTAGCAGTGATTTCTCTCTACTGATGTCGGTGAACTGGAAAAAGGATGTGGTAACGAGTAGCCTATAGAGTACTGAGCATTCCATGTTATGACTCAGTCCCACATGCCTAACCAATACAGTACCCCATACCTGTGGCTTGCTTAAGTTCTCTATGATTGGTCCTTTAGTCTTCCCGTTTCTAAGCTGGTTTGATGACTACCTATCTTAGATGATATTAAACAATGCTGGGAATGTTGTTAGCACTTGATTTATTTTAAAGACCCATAAAGTGTACATGTGCAGGCAACCCATATTTTGTTATTGTTGCTCTAAGACATTAAGTAGGAGGAAAGAGGAAAAGCAGAAACAAAGTGAAAACGACTTATAAGAGGAAGGGGACTTGTGGCCATTAAGGTGTGTGAATCTGTTGAGATCCTTGGTACAGGAATTGATCAACATGTCCGTTGACACCGTTGTCAGCTTCATAATATTTCTCTTTTGTTAATCTCCTACAGTATCTCAATCAATATTAGGATTCAGGGACGGCGGAGGGGGACCCCTCCCCCCACCTTTGAAAGTTAAAGAAAGAAAAAGAAAAATATTGATTGCAAAAAAACGCCTCAGAAGCTATTTTCGGGCATCTAGAAAACAAAAATTTCGCGAGGATTCTCCCGGACCCCCTAGGGTGGAGTTATCACAATCAGCTCAACTTTCAACCCTTTTGGCCCTTCTTTCGGACATTTCTGGATCCACCCCTGGGATTCATACTTTTTCAACCTTTGCTTATTTTGCTTCTTTGTGGTATATTATTGATAATCTAAATCTGAAGAATAAAATCATAGTTACTAAAAATTAAATGCCCAGTTTACACTAAATCACACATACACATTGATCTGATGTGGAAATGATAATGTCTTAGACCTGGAATGTTAACGAGTATAATATTAATAAAGTTCCACCTATAGGGTATTTCAAGATTCTGCCCACCTCATCTGAAATGCCATTTTGATCATATCACTGTCATAAGCATAGTTACGAGGGGAAGTCGCCTAAAATTTAGAGCGCCTACAAAATTAGTTGCTCATAAAAAAAATGCATATGTAGCCATAAACAACTGGGACGCTTTATAAAAAATAACCAAAAAAACTGTCGGACATTAGCTTATTTTAACATACAGTACAAGTTTACAATGATCAGAGGGATAGAGTACTGTAAAGGGATCAGCCTCTTTATTTTTGTATTGTATATTCTTGTCTGCTTGTCCTTAATTGTGGTGTCATGATTGATTCTGTATACAAAAAGAGGAAAAAGAGATTTGTATCTAAAACGAAAGGCGTGACATACAACAGAGAGAAATGGGTAACATTTCTTAATATTTTGTTTAATTTTCTCTACAGTTATATGTTGCAAATGGTATACAAATAATCAGAAACAATATTTCACAATGGTCAATGTTAGTGAATAAATTTCTGAATAGGTTTCAGAGTCTAGATGATATACATGGATAATTATCATGAAAAACTCATACATTTGTTTAATTTTATTAATTGTTAATTAGGAAATATACCATATGAAAGAACATTTTACAGAAAGGATGATTGAAGTCTCCAAGGATTAAAAGTCAATACTCATTGGGTTTCAAGCCAACCACGTTAATCTAACAAAAGGGGGAGTCTAATTATTAGCCACCAGGTTGTGTACCAAACTTTCATAAATAAAAAAAATTAAAAACCATACAAGCAATGAGTTGCTGTTTCCGATGAAACTATAATGTCAGTACACACAGTTGGGAGTACAGAATCACTTGATCATCAGTAAATGAACAACACTAATTAATCAATATCTAGTTCAAGTTCAACTTTATTTATCCAGAGGCCTAGATCAACACAGGTTTGTTCTTCCCTGGGGCCATGCACATGGTAAATACAAAAAATACAATATTTACAATACAATATAATACAATATTTATATTTATATTTTGAACAGCAAAGTAAAAATCAGAAATTAAATATGTAAAATAATGTTTAAAGCTGACTTAATTTGAATTTAAAGGAACGCAGTGTTGGGGCTGTCTGAATGTCAACACTGAGGTTGTTCCATTCCAATGCCTCTTATATATAGGATAGACTGCGTTTTTTGTATTCAGCCTTAGGTAATGGCAGAAAATCATTTGAATGTCTTAAGTTGTAATTATTTACATAGTACAGTAATTACAAATACTTAAAAGATAGGTAGGTGGCAAATGATAAAGAATGTTATATACAAATATATTGTGATTAAAGGTTTTACATTTCTGAAAAGTGTTTTCCATTTAAGTTGGTTTCTAATTTTTGTACTAGTATAGATGTATCCCAATATGGCCCACAAATTATTCTTCCTGCTCTATTTTGGATTAAGGTATTTGTAAACTTTGTAAACGTTTGGCTTTTGTTACCCCACACTTAGACTATACAACATTACAATACTGGAGATGTGGAAGAACAATACTGTACTTTCATTTAGGATGATGTCGATGTCAATGTCAGGTGATGCATGTTTTTGGTGCAATATAGATTAAATGTATACTAACAGCCACATTCTGATATATTTCTTGTTTTAGGGCCTGTTTCTACTGACAAAATACAAAAGTACGGTATTCAGTGAAACCGGATTTCATAATTGTTTATAAACAAAGACTGCATTGCAGTTTAATTTTAACACGAACAGAAACTGGTTTCTCC